CCATCCTGCTCAAAGCACATGTGCACATGTTATTCTGCAGAGCCTCTCATAAAATGCCAAAGAGCTCCACTTCCCCTGTGGTTTTCCTCACTGATTTCAGGCTTTGCACTTGCAGGATGATAACTAGAGTTGCCGGGCAGGACCCAACAGCACCAGCTTTGTGCCATATCACCTACAGACCTGGCTGGAAAAAAATAAATCTGACTGGATGAGCCCAATTTGGCACATGAAGCCTAGAAACGGGCATGCGTAAGAGAAACTAAAATGATCTAACATCACCAGAACAGCAGAGCTGCTGGGCTGCCTGTGAAGAAGACTGTTCAGCTTAGATCTGAATTTGTCTAAGGGCCTTGCTGGGAGCCTGGAAGAGTTGCAAATGCGTGAGATCTGATGGACACACAGCTACTGGACATGCAAGCTTGAGTGGAGAGAGCAAGAGAAAACGGCAATCTATTTTGCATTAGGTTTGCTGTCACTCTGCCATGCTCAGAACACACGAGCCAGCAACATATTCTGTGGACAGCACTGCTGCCCGCCCTGTGGATTCCTGTCAAGCACAGCCCTGAGCCTGAGTGCACTCCAGCTCTTCTACCCTGGAGAGGGCCCAGGCACGTGGTATCATGCACAAAGTAAAAAGCTGGGCAAGTTTCAGCATTGCAAACCCCACCAGCAGGAGACAGCACTTGGGTTCTGGCCCAGAGCATCTGCATAGTTCTATGCTGGCTGGCTGCTCTCTCTCCCCTAGGCATCTTGGGTTTCCTGATGCAAACCCTGGTAGGATCCTTGAGACTGCCTGCCTGCCCTGCCTGGTTCACTCACTCTGTGATGCGCCAACATTAACATTTATGGATAACAAGGTGAGAACAGAGGTTGGATACAGGTGATTGGAAGAGGGGGCTATCAATATGAACAAGAGCTTAAAAAAAAAATGGTCGCTCCCTTGATGCAGTCCATATAGTACTTCATATTTTGCCAAATTCATGTTCTGCATTTCATTTAAAACTCCGTGTTTGGGCTCTCCAGCAAGTAGTGAGCTATGGGTTTAGAATGACTTTGGAATCATGAATATTGAAAACGCAACACATTGCAGAAGCCAAATCTGACTCAAGGAAAGCTAGACCCAAACATATCACCCGTGTTCATGCTGCAAAGCTCATTTCTTTTCAGCTTTTAGGTGATTAGAAATCCCATCATACCAAAAAGAGGAAGTGCTGAGATGTTATTTCTTATTCACCTCAGACTCTTGCCACACATTACATTTAACCAGTTAATCAAGTATTTAGTTGTAATCTGGTCACAGATTAAAGCAATGAATGGCATCATAAAACAAGGAAGAAGTGATAAAGTTATTCTACAAACACACGCAATAACTTTGTGGCTCTTTCCTACTGTGCTGTTAACTGAACATGTGGCCAGGTGAACTCCTGCAGCTTGGAGCCGCACCAGCTGAGGGAAGATTCAGGATCTTGCTACTTGCCGACGCAGGGGAAGCCCAGGATCACAATCCCAGGCTCTCCCTGCACCAGCAATAAGGCCTGATGGGATCTGATGCCAGACCCCAAAATTACACCTCTCACTATGCATATGTAGCATGGCAGGAAGCGCAGTTGTGTGGATCCCACATCAGACCCCATTGCACCTTTACCTGAATGTCTGGCAGGAGTCTCAGTGAAACCTGAGATTTGAATCAAAAGGAGGGAGCTTTCATTTACCAGGAGGCACTGTTGAGCATGTAGAGCCTTGCGTCTCCATGTCTGCAGGGTAAGCTTATTCAAAAGACTCCACCAGATAAGAGCTTTATGGGTATGTTTTGAAAGCAGCATTATGTTGCCTTGTGCCAAAAGAAAGAATTGACAGTTTCACCACTCAGTGGGAACAGGTATGTACTTTCCAAAATCTCACCCTGAAGCTTAGCACAAATTTGGACTGAGTTACTCTTAAGTTCCTGCTTAAAAAATCTGACTGGACACACCAGTCAGGCAAAAGGTAGGGCAGGGTGCTGCCTTTTATCAACCAACTGGTTCAGAGAAGCATGAGCTTTCGTAGGCCAGTCTACTTCGTGAGATGCCACTGACAAAGTAGGCGCTTGCCTACCAAAGCTCATTCCTCTCTAAACGTTAGTCACAAGTCAGGACGGGCAGGTTGGCACCTTTATAAACTAAGCTAACACAGCAAACTACTTCTCCCAAAATAAGTGAGTAAAGGGCACTTCATGAAAACTTAGCTGCATAGATTATTATTAGCCATCACAGACACTGAATGGCTAATATGGGTTTGGGGTGAAGAGGGGCTACGTCTGCAAAGCTAAGTCAAGTGATCTGCAACTGTTTTCTATATTGTAAAAGCCAATGGGAATTATCTTGAAAGTAGCCAGTATCACAGATTAGATCCAGAGGTGAACCTAATACACACCCCACTGCTTCACTTCACAATGTGGCATTTCACAATTCTAATCCCTAACCCCTAATGTATTTAACTGCCACTGTGCTTTGAAATGTGTTCAGAGATTAGCTAGGAAAGCAATCAGATACTGACAGCTCCACTTTTAAAACCCCCAACCTAGCCCAGACTTTGCCTTCAGCAAGACATCTTTGGAGACAAGCTACAGCCCTAATGCAGCAAGTCTGAGGGTACCATGGTGCAAGTGCCGTCAGTCACGTCTTCGATCAGCGATCATAATTGAGAAGGGTGCAGCAGGGGATTCTGTGCTGCTGCTGGAGCTACTGCCACTATGCAGACCAACCACACACTTCCTGACTCAATCCAGGCCCTGCACATCTGATGTTTCCACCAGTGGGCTCCCGTGCACCCCCTTTGGCAAATGCTAGGATGTCCATGAGAAGAGTGTTGAAAAAAAGCCATGAAGGACAGGAGAGAAACCACCAGGGTCATGAAAGAGGAGCCTACTGGCCAGCGGGCCTGTGCCCAGAGGGCAAGAAACTGTTAAGCTCCCAACCTGACAGCCTGAATCTTGAGCTCAGGCTTTAGAGGTCCCATTTCAATCCCTGGTAGCAAGGCAAGAGGAAGGGCACCCTAAATGCAGAGCAAGGGGCTGGAAGAAATTAGTCCCTATGACAGTGCTAGCCCAGGCAGGGAACTACAGCAAGGCTGATCGGGGCTGTATTGCCATCGCTCCATCTGCTGACAGGACAGGGTAATGCATGGACTTTGGCAAACTTCATAAAAGAAACACCGCAGCACTGAAATCAATAGCCTTGTGGGACCACATGTCTTGGCTCAGGAGGATACAGCTTACAATGCAACATTCAGCCAGTGTTCAAAATCTACTGCTCTGTAGACAAGCCACTTCATTTCTCCTAATAGCTGCAAAACAAAGCTTCTTCTACGCTACTCCCTTCGGGGACTCTGGTCCTTTTGGTTTACAAAGCACTTTTACCAACTCCTTTTTGCTGTTGCAAATAGAAAGGACTTGGTTTGCTAGCCATTGCGATCTCCACTTGTGAGTACTGGATTTCTTCTACCCTTTAGTCCGGGGGGGGGGGGGG